ATATATAAGCAAATACTTAACAAGTGACGATATGTATGATTTTCAGTCTTTTCTTTCGTTATACTTAATCTTTTTTCATCATATTTTTATTTTCGAATTAACCAAATTTTCCCTAATTACAGTTTTTTTCCTCAAAAAAATCGCTAAATGGAGTACATTGTCCATTATAATTTTGTATAAGCAAAAAATAAATCAATCAATAAATCAGATTAAATATTTGTCCCCTGTTTTAATCTAGTTCAGAGGATTTTGGATAGAAATCGTGATTAATGACAAGTATTTTGGATATGTTTATGAATATATGTGATAAAAAAGAAAAAAAATAAAGATTGCAACATATGAAAATCTTGGAGTAAACACACCTAATATCATTGAGACCTGCCCTTATTGTTCCAATTCACATAGTTATTACGTACATTCATAATATACATATACATACATACATACATACATACATACATACATAAACTTTTGCCCTTATTGTGTCTTTAGTCTAAACATTTCAAATATAGAGCAATGGCCCAAATCATCGCATTTTTTTACTTTTTATTTTTTTGCTCAAATTAGTCTAATGGTTTACGTCCAAAAGGATCGTTAATTTTGTGCTGACATGCGAGTCTCCTTATTTTAATTTTATTTGAAGGGAAAATAGGATGAAAGTTTCGAAAGTAGTTAACTTTTCAGTTGGTCAAGTTGACTATGCAATATATATTAATATATAATGAGCCAAAATGGTGAATGGCTCTTTTTGGCTCAATGGAGAAGATGAATGGCTCATTTTAAATTGACTCATTATAAATTGACTACCCATTTAATATGTCTTTCTAAAATTTTTCAGTGACACAAGATGACAGCAATAGTAGTTGTGGAATTGTGAAATAAAATGTGTTCACGATATTTTTTCTTTATTTAACTTAATCATTTAAAGTATTTTCAGATTCATGTTGCTGCTACTGTTACTTATGGACTAAGTTGATGGTAGGAAAAAGGGGTGAAGTGGGTGAGGACAATTTTACCCTTGTTTATGGAAAGAAAAAGGTATTTTTGTATTTAATTAACGGAAAAACTGACGGAATATGGACGAAAGGACGTCCAGCACAAAGAAAGGTTGAAATGAGGGCAAAAATGCCAAAAAATGAAAGGTATGGACGTTTTCCACAATAGACTTGAAAGGTAGGGACTTTTTGTGCTAATTACCCTTTAATTAACGGAAAAACTGACGGAATATGGACGGAAGGACGTCCAGCGCAAAGAAAAGTTGAAATGAGGGCAAAAATGCCAAAAAATGAAAGGTAGGGACGTTTTCCACAATAGACTTGAAAGGTAAGGACGTTTTGTGCCAATTACCCTACATACAGATATGTAGGGAGAGAGAGAGAGAGAGAGAGAGAGAGGGCGGGGGGGGGGGGGGGGGGGTATCCTATGAAAGAAAAAAAAATGGGTTTGTTAAGCAAGTGATGGGTTAATAACCCGTCACTTATACACCAGGCGGCTGTATGGTATAGGAGGTTTGGGGGGTTTTGAGTTCGGTTAGTTGTATGGTTTGTGATAGAGCTGGATCCCCAATATTTTATTTCATTATTTTCTATGGCGATTTATTTTAGTCCCTTACTTTTAATAGAGTTTTTTTTTTTTTTAGGATTATTATTTAAATAGTAAAATTGTTGTCGTTTTAATTGGTAAAATTTGATCGTTAGCCCTTGTTTGCTTTTAATAAAATCATATTTTTAGTAAAATTTGATCAAAGTTGAGGAAAAGTGTTTTATTATCTTTAAACATAAAATCAAAAAAGAGAACATCTCTAGGCAGATTTTTCGATGAGTGATGTTATTTATAGTCATTCACTGCGATAGTTATCCTACATGACATCCTATATGACGATTTGTGATTTGATATATTAATGTGATAATTTTTTCTTGCCTCATATATCAAATTACCAACTGTCATATGTATGTTACATAAGGAGACTGCGACAGTGAGTGACTATAAATAACATTATTCTTCTTTTTCAATGGAGGCTTGTTTGCATTTATCTGGTTGGCCCGTTTGTCTTGACACCTCTAGGTTTGGGCCTAAAAATAAAACCCATGTAAATTAAAACATATTTTTATTCCACCTCTCCTGTTGCAAATAATAATAATAAAAGAAAGGGTTTGGGCCTGAAATTTTAGTGCGAGCATGCCCGCACTTATCTCAACATGACTCCGCCCCTGATTGTATGTTATGTCTTTCAAAATTTAATAAGATGGGATGTTACCAATATATCGATATATAGAGTGTGTTTTTGTGCTTCTTACATATTTATTGATGTCATTATTTTTATTTCTCATGACTTGAGTTAACAAATAACAAAATTTCATTTTCTTCTACTTTGATATAATCATGGTATAGTGAGTTAGTTTCCATTTGTTTGAACTCGAATTTTGTTTGCATTTAATATATTACTATGCATTCATTGCTATCTTACCAAAGAAATTCGGATGCCTTTTCTATAATTTGAAACAAAAATTAATAATTATTGCATGATCATTAATTTGATGTAATTGAAACCTGCGATTCAACTTTCAATCAGGAGGAAGTCATTAACTGAAATTTTAATGGACTTTTAAGAGATTATAAATTTAGGGTCTATTTGATTGCGAAAATAAAATTTGGGTGGAAAGAAAATGAATTCCAGGGAATTGAATTACCTAAAAATTGTTTTTCTGAGAATTGTAAATTATTGTGTTTGATTGGTATAATTTTCCAAGTGGAAAATGTTGAAATAAAAGTGTTTTTTATGTTCGTTTGACTTTGTTTTACATGAAAATTGTCAATT